AACATCCAACGTCTCAATGCAGAGCTCTGAGATAGGAAAGTGACTGTCACTAGAGGTGTTACTAGGCAGCAATGTAAACTCTGGCTTTTCTCTGAAAATGAAGCGTTTACATTGAAAAGCCCGCAGGGACAGGATATAGACACTGGAACTGCTACATTAAGCTGTAGTGATTCTGGTGACTAGAGTCTCCCTTTAAGATAACATAACAGTGGTGTATGTTATCTTAAAAAGTCTTCCATATAACATAATGTGTGTGTGTGTGTGTATGGGAGGGGTGTGATATCGGAATCATATAGGGTTATTCACATGAAAATTCTAAAGATCAAATATCAGGTCAAAATAACCAGACTGGAAAAAAAACATTTGTCAGTTATGTATTCAGTTTGGCTATTTTGGCCTTAAAATTAAAATTCACTTTGAATTCTCACTTTAGTGAATAACTCTGAGTGCTCTTTTACAGGGAAATGATGCAGTTAAATTACCGCAATGCTTTATAAAAAAAAAAAAAGATAATTTTAAAGTTTCCCTTTGTACATGTTTAAAACAGCTGTAAGTAGACCAATTCCACACCAGGAAGTACTGTCACTTCACTTATAACAAGTAGAGCTGCTTTCTCAGCTGATAACAGCCATACTATAGTTCCAGTCATTTTACACATATCCCAGTGCACAGCTTAGAGTTTAGAGAGCTCAGCCATAAGTGTGTGTGCATTCATGGTTTTTTTGTTTGTTTTTTTTTGCCTTTTGCAAAACTTGTTTTGAGGTTTTTTTTCAGTAGAATTGATTTAATGTGTTTTGTTTGTTTTTGCACCTTAATTGTCTTTTTTGAATGCATGCCATTTTTAAAATGTAATATCTCTTTTATTCTGTTCTTTTCTTTTTGTTATCTTTATGTTACCCTTATATTCATTTTGAACTATTCTGAGCAATAAGTTCTCTGATATTTGTAATATTTCTTATTTTTTCTCTCAGGAATCCAAAGGTGTTACACTGACGCTTCATGAAAGTGTATATTACCTTGGGAAGAAGGACAATGTGCACAAAGCAATATATTAAGGAGCAGCAGGGTTTGTAGTTTAAAGCACCATAACCACTCAAGCCCACTGCAGTGGCTATAACGCTAGCAGGTTACTGAAGCCATCGCTCAGCTCAGTGTCAAAACATTTCTGGCAACTTGACACAACTTGACTGTTCCAAAAGTCCAAATGTAGATGAATTTCAAATTACTAATGAAAATGTGTAACTTTGCATTAGCAAAACGGCGAGCATGGGGCAAACCATGGGTGTCTGTGGATAAT